TTGTTGCGGTTGGGGTGGTTTGTTTTTCCTCTTTTCCCCTTTATTCAGGAGTTTGAGCTACGTGCATGGAGAACAAAAAGAGCCGCCCTGTCAGGGTGGATGCAAGGGGGGCGACTGCGTATTTGGGTATCTGTGGCCTAATTGGGGGTGAAACAGCTATGATCCAGCGGCACAGCAGTTTAATGTGTAAGCGAAACCGTAACAGGGTGGGAGGTGTTGGGGGGTGGGGGGGCTTTCTGCTCTGGAATGCATTTTCTTTTTTTTGCGGCAGAACAAACGTATCCAGTTTGGGCTGTCAGAATCACCAGCGGCCGGTAGCAGATCTGTTTGCTTTACCTCCTTGCACTGACACGCAGATAAGCCCACCCCCCCCCCTTTGTCCTTCAGGTTTTAGGCCCATCCCATCCTCCACTCGTTCGTTCCTTTTCTTGCCGATAGTTAAGCATAGGTGTGGTGCGAGTATACTGAGGTATGGGCTTGCTTGGCCCTACGCTCCCTCTTTAATTCCTCATCTCTGCCCCCCCCCCCATTCCCTCCCAGATTGTCTGGCTGCTTGACGGGCGAGTAACTGCGTGCCCCTCTGTGCGGACTGTGGCCTTTTCTCTTCACTCCTCCCCTGTCTCTTCTCAGCAAACCATTTCTTTTGTTCAGCTTGATTCCCTGTGATAATTCTTGTGATGGTCTATAATTATTTGACTCTCTAGGAATCATCTATTTTAAGCACACTGGTGAAATCTCCTCCAGTCTTCCTGCATCCAGCTCTCTTTCTGATGTTGAGTATTTTAAGTTTTCAACCACCAGGCTCAGTTCCTTATCTCCCCCCCTCCCGCCGCATGGGTCACATGGGCACAGGAACAGCTCTCCTGTTCATTCTCGGTTCCTTAATCCCCAGTCATTCGGTTCCAGTTTTTTTTTATATGCATTGTAGATTACATTCTTCACATACTCTCTGCTGTCCACACGGACGACTACATTTCATTAGTGCCAGGCTGGAACTCGTATGAACTCTAGAATGTTTTTGAAATGAAATTAAACCACAGACTGAAATTGATGTAAAACAACATAACAAAATTTTGATTTGTTAATTCCTTTGCTTTATTTCTTTCAAAGTAATAGGGCTTCTCTTTATTGCAGTCGCTGCCATAATTAGCATTGTTCTTGTGTTGTGCCACACTTGACTTGAGGGAAAATAAATCTGTGCGTGTACCACGTAAAATAAGGGGCCCCTGCATTGGGAGGTTCCTGCTATCTCTCAGCTCGCAGTTTGGCGGAATAAGATAAGCAAGAACAGGGACGTGGGACTTCACCGCCTTTATGTACACACTGAAATTCCCCGAATGTGGTATTGTGGGTTTGTCCACAACGCCCCACCCTGCTGGTGGGGGCGGGAGTTGTATAATGCATGCACTTCTTCCTTTGCAAAAGGGTTGCTTGCTTGCTTGCTTGCCTGCTTGTTTGCTTGCTTGTTTGTTTGCTTGTTTAGAGCTTGCCTCCATGTTTCCTTTGGTTATTTGCAGCTACACATGTTTGAAGCAACAGTGCCTAGTGAATCCTTGGTGCTCTGTGCCCATGTTAGCCAATGAAGAACCATGGAGTTGTGCCTCGTTGGAAATCCCACCCTCTGGGAATAGGCTGGTGGGGTGCTATTGTACGAAAGGTGTTCTGTGCTCTAGTGACGACACACAGCGGTCCTCGGTCGCTGGTTCAGTCGTTAACTGACATCGACCCCGTTTCCACCAGTGAGTTGCTGAAGCCAGTGCTGGACTTCCAAGCCGGAACTGGTTGTGACGTTTCCACCAGAAAAAAAAAACTGCCCCCGGGCCAGAAAAAACAGATCCAGCCCGGCACCACAGAAAAGCCGGTCTCAGAATTTGGCACCACAACGTCAGTGAAAGTGGGACGGGCCATCGCATCCAAACCTTCCCCGTTCCTGGAAAATTCAATCTATAACCGAGGCAATAGACAGGTCATACTCGTTCTGCAGCTTATAAAAATTTAAATTCGAAACAGATCAAAATAAATGTATAAAAAAAAATGGAATTCATATCAACTTTACTCTTACTTCCATCTGTAAAATTTTCCATTCTGTTCTTTTTTGAAACCGATGGAAACGCGGCCAGGTTCTCAAAGGGCACCAAGTGAGAACCAGCCCAGCACTGGCACCAACACCGGCTCCGTGTTTGGTGGAAACACAGTAATGGTGTCTTGCCAGGTTCTGAAACGCTATACTTTGTGAACCACATAGGTTACTTTATATGTGCCTTTTCTGCTAACTATTCCTGCACACTTCTGTTAATTATATTGGATGTCTTATTGCTGATGGGTTCCTGGGAAAGATTAACCAGGTTGTAGGAGGTATTTGTCCTGTCCCTGGAGGAGATGTCACAGTGACGGCAGTGATGGTGCTTTTCAGACCTATGGGATGTGACACGTGCTCGTTTTAAGTTCATTTTGATCCTGTACATGTTGGCCAGCACAAGACATGTATGCAATATGTGCTTATTGCATGACATCTTCACTATTTTGTTAAAACTATGTGTTTGACTTGGAATCCCTTATATTTCTCCGCTGAATTTGAACATTTATTTTGGGTTTCTCAAGGTATTTTTCACCCCTTTCTAATCGTGTAAATGTCAGTCTCCACCAATATACCTGGTAAAATTGAACTGATCGCCATCTGCATTTATCCTGCAGTCTGGTGCTAATTTCGGACCGTGCTCTAAACTCGCCCGTAACATCCGGTAGTTTAACAGCCTACAATTGCTAATAACTTTTGAAAACGAGCCAATTTAAAATGTGCCCCTGTGCTCCGGCTAAATTGTTTTCAGCCTAACACCAGACTGCCTGACTGGCGGAGCTACGAATGAAGCCTTTCCCCTGGGCCGTCTGATTATAGTATAATTTTATTTATCTGCTGGCTTCTGGTTAAGACATTCACTGAAGTAATGCAGATGTGATCATTTGATTAGAATGCTTTGATATGTCTTCCGGTTTCTGGCGTTTGATACCGTTCCAGTCCTGTTGGTCAAATGGGTGTCTTCTCAAACGCCTTTATAAACTAGCTGAATTCATCCCCCATCCCTGGCCAGCCTTTCATCAGTTTTTGTCCTCGCCATCTTTCAGTCCCACCCGGTGTGATTCCGTCCGAGATGCGAATGTGGATCCCTTGCCGGCCTGTGTCGATGGAAGCAGCTGCGTGCCGTTTCCTCGCCGTTACCCCGTGACAGATGGATCATTTTCATCCTTAATTGGCTTCCCTCCAATCAGTCATGCGTGGCAGTAACGCAATTAGCCATTCTGTGGCCTGGACGATGAGCCACCTAACTGTATTACGCAATGGGGGGGGGGGGGCATTAAAAGCGACAATGGCGCAGATTTCAGCAAGGGGGTCTGGGTGACATGGAGATGGTGCGGGAATGAATAGTGGGGGTGGGAGATCAGAGGACTGGGTGGCATTTGAGAGGGAGGAAGCTTAGGGACCTGTGACTGCATGTGGAAATGCGTGTCAGATACATGACAGAGGACAGGAAGTGTGCATCTGGCCTTGGTTTCACAGAGCAGTCATACTTATGGAGTCATTGTCCCTCCCTGCAGTGCTGTGCGTGCCACACTCCAGCCTCATTCTGGGCTGCCGTTGTACCACAGCTGATGTTGAGGGCAGCTCACAGACCACCGCTTCCTGACACACTTGAGGAATTTTAGAGCTTGCGTGCGGCAACAGTCTGCGTACGTGATTCTTACGAGAGCTTCACTATGGGGAGGCGTCGTCTCCACGGCGCCCCCGTCAGCACGGGCTCTTTAATGGCAATTCCTGACAGGTCGGCCTAGCCGGAGGCTACGGGCGTGTTCCACGTTGCGTTCCAGAGCTGCATCTAAACCCTGGCCTCGCTGAAGGCTTCTCGGGGTAACCAGCGTTGTTATGAAATAAGTGTTGATCGGGTTATTGATCATAATGGAAAGCCAATGTGGTGCCGCTGTGATTTGCTCTGGATCATTTGATCGTGTCAAGGTGGGAAGTTCCATAAGTGTAGAGAGAACAGTCAAATTCACATTCCTCAGGGAGCACTTTCTCGACGTCTCATTATGACCAAAACCAGTCTAAACCAGTTCCCTCTTTCTGCTTAATGGCAACGTTAATCCAGCCAAGTCTAATAAGGACCCAGGTTGAATGAAAAGCAATCAAGTTTTGGGTTGTGTACAGTATACAGGCATTGGTGGAGTGTTTAGATGGTGCTGTTGCTGCTGCTGAACCTCCGCCCAGGGACTGGTCCTCCGTCTCCCCCTGGGGGACCTCCGGGGGTGATCTGGCCTGTCAAGGGGAACAGGAAGGAAAAGTCCCATAAAAGTGCTTTACAACGGCTGCCTTTTCATTCCCCCCTGCAGCCAGGCCTCTCAATGGGGCCAACATATCCCCTTTACTCATGCATATGTTTACAAAAGGGCAGCCCAGCAACAACAGCCAGGAGCTGACTAAGTAACACAAAGTTGGCAGCTTCGTCCTGGAGGTGACAGGCTGACCGTAGACGTCTGGGAAGCGGCAGCCTTGCTTGGGAGCCGTATGCCTAGATCTGGTGTTGAACCCGAGAGCATAACAGCTGCATGAAATTCACCTCTTAACTAATATGTCAGTTGCAAAAAGACTTGGGCAAAGATCACTCTTGAGTTGTGGATTTGTATTAAATGTGGATTTTGTATTAATTTCATCATGTTTACTTTGAATGCCAGACAGTCTGTTAATGGGTTTATATTAATAAAAGTATACTTTCAATGTGTTATTTACTAGTTATGTGATGTAAATGTCCTGTTAGTTCTCATTCTTCAAATATTTTTCAGCAGGATGGGGAAAATGAGCACAGTATTTTGGAAATTGATAAGGAACTCAATGCATTATCTCCAGATGCCTTTTGCACTGTTTCATTTTTAATTCCACTTGTCCCTGGAGTGTGCGACCTGTCCAAACGAGGCTCTGGCTTAGCCTGTCCCTCTTCATCTTCATGCAGAATGGGAGTGCGACCTGGAATGATGATGCTGACGGTGGCAGAGGAAGAGGAGAAGCGTCCAGAGACTTTGCCAAAGTATGGCCCTAGAAGACGAATCGGCCCTTCCAATGGCCGACCTACAGCATGTGCTGTGGGCACATTGGCTGCGTTTTCTATTTAATTCAGTTGAATTTATTTTTATATAGAACCTTTCACAACAGTCTCACCCCAAGGTGCTTTACATGGGTTTGTTGTTGTTAATCTGTCCTCATGCAGTATATCAGGCATGGATGTTACTTGAGTACTGTGAAGCTTTTCCAAGGGCCAGGTCCTCCTGAAGATTGCAGAATGATAGACTGTCAATAACTCAACATTCAAATTCTATGAAGTATTCCAGTAAGAAGCTCTCAGATTTGCATCTGTGTCCCTTCTCTCCACAGCTATATGAATTGGACAATGACCCAAACCGCAAAGAGTTTTTGGACGACCTGTTCACCTACATGCAAAAACGAGGTGAGTCTGAGAGGCCAGCTGTCCGCTGTGCTAACTTGATGGTAGCCGTGGAAACCATCTGATAGTATGACGCATGTGGGAAAGTTACTCGAAGAAGCAAAAAAGCATTGGTTTCTTTACCATCCTGCTGCTCACTCTCTGGCTTTTTCTGTAAAAGCCAAACCCTGTTTTTTCAGATCTGCTCTTCCAAGTATTAGCAGCCCATAAAATTGCTATTTTTATCTTATCCTGGTGGTGAAGCCATGGGGCTGGTTTTTTAATGGCTTATTCTGCTCAAGAAATTCCTGTCGAATGTAGAATTTGACACTTGATATTGGCAGCTGATAAACGCCCTCTTAAACTGTTTGTTTGTAGTGGGAGTTTTTCACGTGTGGCTTCTAAACGTGGGTTTGTTTGACCTAGATATTTAGCGACAGTAGACCGCTGTGAAAGCAGCTCTGGAAGAACTGGTGTTTCCAGAAGCTTTAGACCGTCGGTTTTGATACTAATCAGCATTGTCTTTGAGCTTGCCGAGTGTGCGGAGTAGCTCTATGTCTTGTGCTCATTTACTGGGGCTGGTTTATAATGGCACCCGGGTGAATTTGTTTAGCTCCATTGTCGGTGCCCCCCTTCCCTCCCAACTTGGTGCTCCTTGACATCTGGAAGACACATGTCAGTAGATGGCAGTTTTTCTATCGGTGCGTCTGATTCTTTTGGTCAGTCCCTCTTATTTGCTTTCGGTTTTCTGTTCTCGTCTCCGCAAGGTTTTGCATTTGACATGCGAGAGGCCTCGTCCCAAGTCGACCTAATTAAGAAACCTCTAATCAAGTCAAATCTAACCAATAAGTGTATGAGTAAATGCAACTTTAAAGTAATGATTTTTGTTTGTAGTGAATAGTTGTGGTTTTTTGCTATTGGTTTGGTGGTTGCTCGCTGATTTAACAAATTATCTTCAAGGCGTCTTGGTATCAAATTGGGACGGGGGGTCGTACGGAGGAATCCAAGTGCTTCTCTGCTGAAACCCCTAAGTTAAGCTCCAGAGATGGCGATCTGGGCCGTAATCCTCTTAGCGGTGCTGTCCCAGGTGTGGCTTCCACGGTAAACATTCCTCCTTCCCCGTGACTTGAAGGAACAGCCACCGTTTACTCCCGGTCTCTTGCGTCACTTCTGAATGCCACTAGGATGATCCTTCTCCTTAATCAAGGTCTCAGTTGCAGTAATGCAAGATTAATGTAAGATCTTTGATGCCAAACACCCCCATGAAAGGCTCATCATTTAGTCCTTAGTGGCCCTGCATTAAATTGTAGCACAAATAATCAGAATTGTTTTAGTTTGCATGTTTGCAGCTGTTTCCCCCACACACACAGACTGCACCACACAGTCGAAAAACCAAGTTAATTGTTATTTCTAAACTGCCCATTGTGTATATGTTTGTCCCAGTCTTACTGTTATTGGTAATGGATGATAGGCCTGTTTTCTTCCAGTACACTGACACAATTGTTCTGGTTTGTTGTATTGTGGAGCTCGGAACCTGGTCTCTGGCTTGTGGACTTGCTCAACTTCGTAGGCAAAAAACACCAGATAATATGTGTGTATGACATGTAAATGTACTCTGGGTTTAGTACATGTAACACAAGTAATGTGACACTCCCCAAACACGACTGAACTTTTAAGAACGGTTTCCATGGTTATGTTATAATAGGTCTGTTGCAATGGGCTTCTTTCTGTAATGTAACAACCATGTTGTGTGGGACACGGTGCCCATTTTTCACAAAGGCTATATCCATATTATGCGTTTTTTGTTTTAATTTTCAAATTGGTTTTTTAAACGCCGTTTATGCTATTAAAAATAATTCCCACGCTAAACTGTTTCACCTGCGCCGATGGTCAGGGTACCTGTAATCCGAGTGACACCGTAAATTGCCATCGAGCTTAAATATTTTAATGAGCCATTAACCTCTTTCAGAAGGTTCGAATCCAGCAGATGGGCGACTGTTTGCCCACGGCACCCCAGAAGTCCCCTCGGGGCTATTGGGAAGGGATGGGGGCTACAGGCCAGGCCGCGAAACACTTTACTACGTGGTATAAAAGAGGCAGAGCAGAGTGAGGAGACGGCAGCGTTGACAGAAGATGATTAATGGCACTGTGTGTGATGGACACATTGATAGTGTGACACTGAAATTGGAGTAGCAGGAAGCGGGGAGGCGGGATATGAAATGGTCGTGATATTAGTCATTTGGACATCAGTTTAATGCATAGCCCCCCCCCCCCCATCTCATCATACTGGGCCTATTGAGTCTCTGGAATAGAGAGGAAGTCCTGGCTCATTCGTGGGGGGCAGGAAGGTGACGCAGGGTCGGCTTCGCGTGGGAGCAGGATGGAAATCATTCTTCACATCTCAATGGCCAGCAGGCCCAGTAGCTTCCTTTGATCCTTTCTGCGGAGATGTCAGGAGGGTTTTCTGAAAGTGACATCATGCAACCAAGCACCAGTGCTTAGTGTCCAGGAGGCATATGGTCAGCTTTTATATTTTGTTTGTTGCTTTCTTAAATCTTATTTATCTCCCAGTCTTTACTTTCTTCTTGGTATTTTGGTATTTGCACGGCGGAGTCCTCTGCCACTCCTACCCTTGCCTCACTCATTCTCTGTATTCATCGTGCTGTGGGCTTCTTGCCGAAATGTGACACTGTTTGGGGATGGTGGGGTAGCCCAGCTACACTTCAGAACGCGAGAAAGGTGAGGCGGGGTGGGGGGGGAGGGGGTTAGGAGCCCAGAGAGTGAGGCTGTATCAAGGGGCCCCCTGGTTTCTGATGAGGATGATTAATGAGCTCCTGAGATTTGGGGCACAGCCTTTGAAATGGGCGCTGTGATGGACAGCAGAGACAGACTGAGAGAGCCGCGTGCCTCAGGTTGGGAGGGGACGATTAGTGGAGGCTGGGGGGGTGACCTAAGGCGTACTTCAGTCTCTTCTGCTCCATGGAGGGACGACGTTCATAAATCCATAGGGTGAAAACGGACAAACAGGGACGGGGAACCCCGTCGTTTGGTTACTGCAACCACCTTCCCAGTTCTTTTAGGAGCGTGAAAGAGGCTCTCATTTAGAGCATTCAGTGTTACTTATTTAAAATGTTTTATTTATAGGTCGTGGCAGGTTTTGCATTATTAATCAATCAGCCTGAGTGGGTTCTGGTCCAGTGTGTAGCAGAGACTCCTGTCCTGCCAGCACAGCAAGAGAGAAGCAGCTGTCTTGCATCCACGCCACAAATCACCTGAGATCTCCCCTCCCCCCGGAGAGACAGACAGACAGACAGACACACACACACACACACACACACACACACACACACACACACACNCACACACACACACACACACACACACACACACACACACACACTGTTATGTTAGGGACTTTTCTTTGTAAGACTCTCACACGCATCGTTCACCATCAGTGCCTTTTATCTTTGTTCATCAAGTAAGAGGTTTTGAAATAAACTTGTTCTTTGGCAGCGACCCTGACTAGGCTTCGTGGTTAGAAGATGGATGGATAGGCGGTTCCCTTTGTCAGATATACATAATTGTATGATATTAAGTATGTGCATTGGTTTGACCTCAATACGCTGAAAGTTCTTATGGCTTTCCATCTGTTTGTCATTTCCTCAATGGGGTGGTTTATAAGTGCTATGATACGCGATACTCTATACTGTGAAAGATTATATAAGTGTACAATGTTGATATAGCTGAGAATTGAGACTGGCAATTCATATAGTTTTGCACTTGCGCATTTGTTTTGCAATTGGATGGATTTGATTCTTGTTAGGCGTTCACAAGCCGCTCCTATTTCTCTCGACGCCCGTTGACATATGGCGTTCCTCTTCCTCCTTTCCGGAGTCTTGAGCTCCGCTCCCACGGAGCCACCTCCATTGGCTTATTGATCCCGCTCGGCAGGCCCAAAAACTGCGCTCCTGATGAGCCGAGTTGATGGCTTTATCTGTCCGTCACATGGCACATTGATTTCTTTGTGGATCGTCTTCATAATAGGGTTGGGGGCGGGTGGGCAGGGCCCTGGGGGTTGGGGGTGAACCATCAGCGAGGCGCCATCAGGTGAAGTTGCTTCTCTTCTGAACTTAGTACGACTAGGTCATGGTAGGAAGAAGTACAAACCCTATTTCCACAGCTAAAAAGCCATTCTCAGTTGAACTGCTCTCACTCTCATCTATGAATATGTATAAAGAAATGGCCACTTATGTCCTACTCCATTCATAATCTGTATAATTAAGCATTTAGAAATGAGTTGTATGTGATCTGTGAGGCAGTCGCTCTGTAGTTGTCTGGAAGAGGCCAGTGCAGGGAATATGCTTCTAGGCTGTGTACAGACAGTCTGGCTGCTCCTCAATTCAGGTGCCTTTCCTTGTATCCATCCCACCTTCAGCAGCAAACACCCCAGTGCTGTATCTGTCCCCAACCACTTTGTTCAGTCGTAATTCAAATAACCTTTCAGAAACTGCAAGCGCCGGCTTCTTTGTCTTGGGGTCAGAGAATACTGTCGTCTTGCCACATTTCCAAAGAGCTTGATAGAGGTGGTGTCTGGTGGTGTTTTTGGAAACCTGGCGCAACAGAGATGCCTGCAAGGCCTGCAATTGTTCCGTGGTTATTCTTGGTGGGGGGGGGGGGGATCCAACCTCCCCCTTATCCTGGGGGGCAAAATGCATATGCGTCCTCTACCTGTCAGGTTGTCAACTGCTCCATACCCTTTGAATTTCTGAATAATTGTCCTGCCAGTGCTCAGTGGTACATTTAAGCTTTGGTGGATCTTCTTGTAGCCATTACCTGATTTATGAAGGTCTGTGAACATCTGTCTGTTTTGAACTGCCAGCTCTTTTGTTTTCTCCATGGTGCTGGATGACAAAGGGTTTTTGCTTGTGTGTCACCTCATTTTTATATTCTAGTTTAACATCCGGAAGTGATGTCATAAGTTTCTTAAAACGTAGATGAAGGTGAATATATCTAGTTTAAATTTG